TGTGTAATTGTACAAAAACAGCTCACAAAAGTCACTCTTAAGGAATAATCAGCACTTTTATAGGAATAGATGGCCTTTCCATTAGCCACAAAAGTGCTGTAATTATTTTATGAAGGCCTTACAGAATTAGAGTGTTTATTAGAGCCATTTACAGACTTGTTTGCTTGCTGTGTGGGATTCTTGATTTTTGCAACTCAAGTGTGCCACTAGCTACAGATAGTTCACCACAAAAGTATATAAACACAGCCACACAAAAACCCAGATCTTCATTCCCAGATCCTCATTCCAATATCTCCTTTTAAAGAATCTTGCAGACCTAGTGAGTGGAATTTGTTTTAAGCTGTTAAGTGCTGATATATGAAGCATTTGCTTCAATCTTTCACAGTCTTGAAACTGTGGCTAGCTACAGTTAAGGCTGTGCATATATCAAAGTTGTTTGTTTATAATGTATCAATTATAGTTATTTCCATGTTTTAGAAGGGGCAAAGAAAGTTATTGTTTTTAGAAACCTCAAACTATGACAGTTGTAGGCAGTTATATGCAGCTTTACCAGCAAGCTGATAATCTAAATTTCTCCTTTTTGCCTTTCCAGAAATTAAGATTACAGTTATTGCTCTAATGAGGTTAAACTGGCCACTGCACATACCTTTTGTTCAAATTTTGGAAATGAAAATTATTTGGAGCCATTCTGTTTATTAATACACAGACAGATCCCAATTGTGTCATTATTCACAGTGATCTTTTGCACTACTTTGCTGCCTTTCATTCAAGGATCCCAATGTGAATTTAACCTTTGAGAAAAGTATTACTATCCCCACTCTGCAGAAGGGAAACTACAGAGAGAGTTCCACTAAGGTCAAATTGGTTTTGGTCAAAGCCCCAGGCACTGACACATTGGTATAAGCAAGCATAAAGTGGGTTTCCTAGCTTCTGATCCTGTGCCTTCACCTCAAAAATCATACTTCATTTTAAACTCTGAAGGAATAATCCTGCCTTACTGAAGTCAACTGCAAACCTCCCATTGTCATCAGAAGGGCTGCATTTTTACTTAAGAGATATCTATCTACCATGGACTTATTGTGTGACCTTTAGTAAGTTACTCTCTTAGTTTATTCCTCTCTTAAAAACTGGGGTAAATAGTGCCTTTATCCATCTTTGCAATCAGAATCCTTTACAGGAGATTAAATTTCTTTCAGGGGTTCTCTGTTATAGAGTGCTTCAAGATTTTTGAATGACAAGTACAGTGGCTTGAAAACTTGCCATGGCTTACTAGAGATAAATAGATATGGTTATCTCAGTATTTTCAATAATCCCTTGTCCAGCTACATACCAGAGACACTACCGTAAATACAGCAAATACTGAGGTTATCTAATTACAAATACGTATTGTTTTAGGCATGGAAGGCAATTGGCCAGGTGTACTCCAAAAGTGTATAATATTCCTATATTTTTCTAAAAGCACATTATACAGATCATCCCTAATGGAAGAGCTATTTTAAGTCACAGAGAAATAGCTTTGGCACACAAAAAAGTCAGTTGGGTAAACTTTTCAAAAGCATCAAAATGACTTGAGGGCCTGCATCCCAGTTGTAAAGGTGAACTAGACTCTGAGGAGACTTTTTCAAGGTAATGGGGTTTAGATTGCTAACTCCCTAAAGCAAAGGGCACTTTCAAACATTTCAGGCACATTTTTAATGCGGGTTGCAAAACCAAACGGGCGACTTTTGTTCGTGGGGAAGCCAGGGAATTTCTGGCGTCATTTTTACTTGGGAGTATTCTTCTTACCTACCTAGGAGCCTGTGTCATTCGAACGCAGCAAATGGCAGCGTAAACATTGTTGTATAATAAGTAGGCAGCCAACTCAGCAGAATGTCTGTGCACATGCCTGTAATTCATGCTGCAGACGCCACATTGGAAGAAGAACCTCAGCAGAGCAATAGCACCATCTTTCACAGCAGCAGTGTGCAGTAGTTCTGGCACAACCGGATTATAAGAGAAGAAGGGGCTAAATTTTCACTGGGGAAATTTCTCAGAGTGGCCTCAAAAAGATCCCCAGCTAGCTTCCCCCATTCTATGCCAGGACCATGAGGAGCAGGATTATGAGAGGGGAGGCTGAGCCCCTGGTGCCTGATGGACGATGGCTGTAACAGCACCATTGCCACACCATCCTCAGTGTACAGGCCAGTGAAATGCGTAATTCCTAGGCATCTTATTAGCTACACAAGCTGGGACACATTCCGCCCCCAAGCGACACTGCTGCGCCCCATGTGTTTGTACCAACTGGGGCTGTTGCTCTTCTTGATTGTTTACATTACAGGAGGAAGCAGCTATGGTCCGGGTTGCTGGAAAGCCTCAGTGAGTGTTTCTGGCTATGCTGGAGAAAAAGGGGATGGGGGAGGGGGAGGTTGGGTGGAATCAAGGTGGCTGCTGCAGTTTAGGGCTCTGCCATATTAATTTCCATTGTATTTCAGGGGAGTTTGGACCTTGAGTGGGTTTGAGGCCTGCTCCACACTACTAAGCCTTGTAGAGGGGGCTGGAAACACCTGAAGGAGCAGAGAGCACGACTGCAGTAATGATTGTTTTTTCCCTTTGGCTGTGTGGTGTTACCTCCAGGTCGCCCACCCCACCTCGCTTTGTGCATCCTTTTCCATCAGGCACCCAGGGACCTATATGCCTGGGGAAGCTCCCTCGCCTCATGTCCATGTAGGTTTCAAATATAAACATCTGTTGGAGGAAGACATTATAACAACACATCATTAAACATTGATTTAAAGACAATCATCTTCCCTCCCTTTAATTTCACAGCACCTTTAAAACAGCTGCTAGGCTGCAGCAGGGACTATCAGCCAAACAGGAAACACATTGTTAGCTGCTAGCGTTAAAACAGTAGAATGCATTAATTTATGAGCTCCTGCTCCCTCTCCAAACATTTTATTATGTTAATATCACCTTAATGTGATGGGAAGGCCCTGGTGCCAAAGCCTTTTTGGCACAGTGTGTGCCATCCTAAAATTACAGGCTGGATCCCTTCTGGAGCTGTCTTTGGAAAAGTGGAGTAAACCATAAAGCACTAAAGTTAATATTATCTTACAGTCTAACAACCAGCTAATGCCCAACATGTGAATCTCATTTACTTCTTCTCTATGTAGCAAATGACAAGTGTGGGATTGGACTGGTCCTAGTTTTATGCTATTTATCTTCATGATCCATTCCATATTTGTCTCCCTTGTTTTTCAGTTACAGTGTTAGGCCTTGAAACTTGCTACATGCCAAGAGATGCTCCTACTCAAACCCAATGGTCAAATCTTGTGTGTGTCTCCCACCCAGGCAGGTATGTGAGTAAAAGCCCTGGCTTTAGTGATTTTCTCTGAAGAAAAAGAAAAAGAAAAAGAAAAAGAAAAAGAAAAAGAAAAAGAAAAAGAAAAAAGAATAGAATACACTGTGCAGGGAAAATTCAGAAAGTTCTCTGAAAGACTGTATTCTTTCCAAGGGTCTTTAAAAGGATAGAGATAGATAGATAGATAATAAATGTATTTATTACATTATTTTCTAAGAACAAGAATCCTTTACCGTGGAAGCCAAGGGCCTAACTGAAAACTGACTAGTGCCGTCATTTTCTATCTATCCCGCGCCGTTATCTTCTCATGGATGGCATTTTGTGCTCGCATTTCGGCTTTTGCTCAAACTTTCCCCTTGCAGATTCGAGCTCTAGGTCCCAACGCCAAACCGGCGTGGCTATCATAGTTCATGTGCCAAATGCAATCCCTCCATGGGGCTCTCACAACTATTTCACCCCCTTGAGCAGATAGTTCTTGTTCCTTTCCACCATCGCTCTGCGCCGCTGATTAGCTACCGCTAGGAAACTGGTAGGAAAATCGCTTCAACAGCAAAGCGGTTCAAACCCCAGGTCGTGAGATTTTTCCCTGGGCTTGTCTTTAAACAAAAAAAATGGTTTACCTCGGCTGTCCCTTCCCCCTTTCGTTTCTCCCCTCCCCCCTTAAAAAATGCCAAGTGAAAATTAATTCGGTGTCACTTTTCCAGCACACGGACCCTTAGAACCGCCGGCTCAGGCTTGGACACCCCGTCCAATTACACCACCTGATCCTGCGGAAAAGACAAACCAAGGGGGAAAGCGGGTGATTTCTATTCTCCTGCCCCAGTGAGCGAAGAGCCCCGCAACCAGGACAATTATAGCAACCTCTAGCCACGTCCTCCGTCTGCAAACACCCTGCTCTTGTGAGACCCTGCTTTGTGCAGGTTGCCCCTGCCTCTGCTCTGTAGTGATTGCATCGCAGGTAGGGCTAACTTCAGAAGCGGGGAGATTAGGCCAAGGAACCGAAAGGAGCCCCCCTCTACAAATCGTCGGGCAAGTCCCTGCTAGCCAGCGCTAGGATCCTAGCAGCTGGAGAAAGGGGGCTGAGGGGAATGTTACTGCGTCTGTCAATAGCCGAGTGTCCCAGCGGTGGGAGCGCTGTGAGCAAGAGGGGCAATTGGAGCATTCAGGGGGAGGAAAGAGCAGGCCACTTTGTGTGTCCTTCGCTTTGCCTCGGAACCAAGGCCCTGGGGCCCTGCTCCACGAAGGGTTTCTGATTGGAAAGTCGTTACAAAGAATGTGGGGAGCGCACAGAATAAGAGCTGTCCAGCGCCAGCGCTCCGGGGCCTCTCCAAACGAGTTTCCAACAGAGAGAGCAGCCACCAGCCAGGCACCCTCCTCATCGGAGCGGTGCAAATTCGCCAACCCTGCTTCCAAAGCAGCCCTCGGCGGATGAGTCAACCCCCTGACGGTGCAGGCGGCTCGGAGAGACTCCCACACCCAGAGCCCCGGGAACCCTCAGCGCTCCTGTGCAGATTCCAAATAAGGAGGCTTCCCACTTCAGGCCCCCCCCCCCGCTCCCCGCACAGGCGGCAGGGCCATGTGCTCTGGCTGCCAGGGGCAGAGGCTGTTACCCGGCAAAGGGTTAATCGCCAGGCGCTACCGGGAGGAACGTGTTTTCCCCAGGGCCAGAGGCAGGGAGCCCCGCACGCGGGTCTCGGCGGCGCTCGCGGCTCACTCCCCACTCTCGACTCTGTGGCACCCTGGGACTCTAGTGACGTCAGAAGGAGCCGGGAAACCCTAAAGCCCCAGGGCAGGGAGCTCACAGCTCGGAGCTGAGCCCTGGCAGGGGGGCGCGCCTCCCTGCGCCACCAGCTCTCCTCGGGAGCGACTCCCTTTCGGCGCTGGCCCCTGGCACCGGAGCGCGCCGGCTCTGCGCTGCGACCCTGGGCAGGAGAGCGACGGAGACCGAAGCCAGACCTGCAGCCCCTTTCAGACTCTCCCCCCGGGCGCCCGGCCTCGGAGCGCACCGCTGGCTAGCTGCACCCCGCGGCCTCGGAGCGCAGAGTTGCGGCTCCATGGAACAGAGCGCGCTGAGCTGACGCTACTCCGGAGCAGAAGCGAAGAGAAGCGCAGCCCAGGATCCCCTCCCGAGCCGAGCCGGGCCCTTGCCCTTCTCCCTGGGATTGTATCGGAGGACTGAGGAGCTGCCCCCTCCCTGCCAGCCGCGTCGCCCAGGAGCAGCTCACAGGTAAGTGCCCCTCTTCCTTCCCTCCCCCGCGGAAGTTTGCAGGTGGCGAAGCGCAACCAGCTGGGGCCAGGGCGCTGGGACCCCAGAGCCTTCTGCGTTGCAGGCCTGGAGACGCCTAGCTCCCGGTCCCCCTAACTCCCAGGCCCCATTCCCTGCGTTCACTCTAGGGGCGCTTGCCAGAAAGAGGCGCTCCTGCCCTCCACACTCTCCCCTGGGGTGCGTGGGTACCTGTCCCGTTTCCGGACAGCTTTTAGCGGAGCCGAAGTAGCCAGGGATGGATGGGAGGGGACGGGATTCCCTCGTCGGCGCGTCACCTCATCCTGGGGCAAGTGCTCCCCAAACAGCCCTTCCACAAGGGTGCGTAACTTGGCCACATTTGGGTCTGACCGGCCCCGAAACAGCCGGGAAGCTGCAGTGCTTCCCCAAGCAAACTCGCCCCTTTCCCGCTGGTCCCCTGGCTGCTGGCCTTCGCCTTGAAGTTGCAGTCCTTGACATCTTTATCCCTTGTATAAATTCTTCGGGGGCGCTGCACTTCGTCAAAACTGACAAATGCGTTAGAAAATATAATTCCAAGGGGGTTACCTCATTTTACATACTGGAAGATTTAAGCACAACCGGTTTTCCGCGGAGGGTGTTCCTTGTGTGTCCAGGGCTGTACAGTATCAAGGCTGGCGAAGAGAAACTCATCGATAAACGTGACAAGGAACAAATTTTAACATCGCTAATAAATGTTATACTTTTATGGAATGGGCTCGGGAGCTTTGTTTTTTACGGGCTGCAGCTACTTGTTCTTGAGTATTAAAATAAAAATATAACCCGGCGAGGCAGCGCTATTGCGGTTAACTTCTAACAGCTTCCAGGAGTATAATAATATTTCACAGGTGTAAAAAGTTCATGTGACAACCATTTATGACCCTAACAAGTTGGTTTTAACAGTGTAATTTTAAGCGGTAAGAATTTATCGTAGTAAAGGTTAGAAAATAGGAATTTTGGAAATGCTTTATTTAAATTCTCCTTACGCAGAGATGCAAAGGCGCTTTGGCTTTCTACTAATATCTGAAAAGCATGTCCAAATAATGCAAATCTGTAACAGGTGACATTGATTAGCGTTATGCATGGAAAGAAATAAGTTTGTGTAGATCCCTCCTCGTTCTGTTCCGATCTCATTTTAAGAATAGGCACCGTCTCCGTCAGTAATAAAGAGAGTATGAGTTTATCCGAAAACTCCTGACACGTTAAAAAATAACTGTAAC